GTGACTTGTCTCCTGTGCAGCTGCAGGTGCTTGACTGGCAGCGGCACCAGGACGTTTGGCTGATTTTACAGCACTGGTGTTGGTTAGGGGTTATGGAAAGGTGCTCAAAATGCCCTTAAAGTGACAGTGTGTAGTTTCCCTGGCGATAGGGGACAGTACATACCTAAATCACTGTGAGCAAGCATTGTTTATGTGTTCATGGTGGTGTCAGTTTCCGGTCGGTAACAAGATGGCCCCTGTGCTTGGCTTAGCTGCGGTCACTGGCCACTTTTTCAAACTTTTCTCCACTAATTAAATGGCGCCGGTGTGCTTGGCCTGCCATTTTGGGTTAGAGCTCTTTTTGATTTTATTGTTTTTATCTGTTTTTATTTTCGATGCAAACTCTCTGCTGATATATGAGCGTCAACAGCTCCTGGATCTCAAGATTTCTGCAAAAACCGTATCTGGAACTTATAAAGATGGACAGAAGGTTTTGCCCCCTTTTCTGGCTTCAGTTCCTCCATACCTGTGCCGTGTTTTTGCGCCGCCACCCTGGAGGAGGAGGCAATGCCGCAGGGGGAAGAGAGGAGGAAAGCTGGCGAAAATGAAGCTCTGTCGGGCAGTTTTCCCGGTTCCAGTAAATGGCGCGTTGTGCTCCTTTGTCCTCCAGCTTCATCGGTCTCCAGTCAACTTCAGGGTTCATTTCAAGATCCTGGTTCTGGTCTATAGGGCCTTACATGGACAAGCACCATCTTACATTGGTGATCTTCTTAGTCCCTACACCCCCAGCAGATCCCTGAGGTCCAGTGACCAAAGCCTACTAGTTGTGCAGCACCAGGCTAAAGACCAAAGGTGACAGATCATCTGCTGCTGTGGCCTCCAGACTCTGGAACTCTCTCCCCCTGAGCCTGAGATCAGTGGACTCAGTGGTCTCCTTTAAAAAGCAGCTGAAGACTCACCTGTTCAAGCTGGCTTTTGGATGACCTTCTTCACCCTCTCTTTATTCTGCTCTCCCCACCTATTCCACCTTCCTCAGGATCCACTGATTTCCTTCTTTCCTATTCACTCTCTCTCTTTCTTAACATTTTTAATCACAATTGTCTATTTTTTGCTAATTTAAAACATATTTTTAACCATTTTCTAAATTCTTTTTTACATTTTTTGTTTTTATGAAGCACCTCGTGATTTTTATCTTGACAGGCGCTATAGAAATGATATTTTCTTCTTCTTCTTCTTCTTCTTCTTCTTCTTCTTCTTCTTCTTCTTCTTCTTCTTCTTCTTCTTCTTCTTCTTCTTCTTCTTCAAGTAGGACCTTACCAACGGATTGTCATTAGGGTCAAAATGATGAATGATAAATGACCCGCACTTGTATAGCGCCTCTCAGAGTAAGGACTCCAAAGCGCTTTACACTACAGTGTATCATTCATCCATTCACACACACATTCACACACTGATGGTGATGAGCTACAATGTAGCCACAGCTGCCCTGGGACGCACTGGCAGAGGCGAGGCTAACGAGTATAGGCGCCACCGGTCCCTCCGACCACCACCAGCAGGCAAGGTGGGTTAAGTGTCTTGCCCAAGGACACAACAGCAGAATGCTCTGTCCGGAGCCGGGATCGAACCTGCAACCTTCCAATTACTGGACAACCTGCTCAACTTGTTGAGCTACTGCTGCCCAATCCCTGGGAGTGCAACCTCCAGCAAAATAACAAGAACACCAGATTCCCTTTCATCACTGGCAATGAGTGAAGAGGTAAATGTGTAAAGCAACACTGTTTATGAATGATGAAAGTTTTGTAACCATTTGTTACAAATCAGTAAATGCATTTTGTCCTCACAGGCTCCCGTAGAAGGAAACGTGGCATCCAAAATGGCGCCGCCCAGAGACTTAGACCCGTTCCGTGCTGTCTGACTGGCACTTTAGAATTTTTTTTATGGATTATTATGCAAGCTGTTGATTTTCCTGAGAATAGAGAGGTGATGCAACCTTGGTTGAATTCAAAGACTGCAGGCCAATCAGCTACTGGAGCATTTTGGTGCAATTGAGCAAATAAAATGTGCATGAAAGCTGCACAAAAAAAAAACACACTCGTAATCATGTTTTTGCAACCATGCAGCACTGAATGAACCATGCTTCAAAGAAACTACAGCATAAAAACAGACAAAAAAGCACAAAAAACAGACAAAATCTTTTCTCTGTGAGATTTTGTGCCTGTGTGTGACTTCCATGTGTTTGTGTGTCAGCTGCACTTGTTCGCATGTGTATTTGTGTACATGTACAGCAGAGTTTAGGCCCACAGCAGACGCCATAATCTCCTCACAGACATGCTCTAGGAAGAGATTGTGAAAATAGTGGGAGCGGTGTGTCACTTTAGTTTATTGCTATTTCTGTGCACACACACACACACACACACACACACACACACACACACACACACACACACACACACACACACACACACACACACACACACACACACACACACACACACACACACACACACACACACACACACACACACACACACAGTGGCCTGAGGACTCTATAAAACACCAAACAGTTCATTTCTGCAGATTAAGCACACACAAAGGTGCCAAGGCCTGAATGCAAATGTGGAGACGGTTAAGGTAGACGAGAACTGGACGTGACAGAAAAAGGAAGAGTAAAAAAAAATGGAAAAGCAACACAAAACGAGACTTACTAGCATTTTCCTACATGGATAATTGGGATGGGTCACTTCCTTCTTCCACATTTCTTTTCCCTTATCCTCTCTTGACCTTCTGTTCTCATTTCCCCTCACAGTGTTGGATGAAGATCCAGAATAAGAAGAGAGCATCTCTGTAAGAAATGTTTGGGCCACTGTGGTAAAACTATCAGTGTGTGGGAGGTGGAGTTGTTAAACTGTGTTCGTGTGGAGTTCAGGGGGGAAGCCGCTAATCCAAGCAGACTGGAAAAGGTCACGCTTGTCCGCCTGGTTCAGGATGGGATGAAATGTTTAGTGTGTGTGTTCGCCTTTTATTGCTTTTTGCTGTGCAAGGCCAGAAAGGTGTGATTACATACCAGAGGAATCCACGAGTCTCTGATAAAAATCTTCAAAACAAACTATTTCAATGCTTATATGAGCTTCTTTGAGCCATTTATGGATGCAGATATAAATCCTTGAGAGGACGAAACTGAATGGTTGGAGGCATGCGTTGGTACATGTGCTAGTGGGTGACTTCAGCTGGGTGAGCGAGGCCATGATTACAAATCTGCTTTCCCCTGAGCCGTGCTACTGTGACTGCTGATGGACAGCCGGCGCCTGTGAGTGGGACCATTTGGTCATTTGTGAATCAGATTTTGCCTCTTGATTCATTAGTATTCATCAGGATCTCCTCATGATGAAAAGATATTTGGAGACATAATTCTCCTCAAAATATCTCATGAAATTAGTAAAAGATAGAAATTCCTGCATATTGCATTGTTTTGCATAACGACTTTGCCCTCCTGTTCTTACTGTACTACAGTTGCAGTCTATTTAGCAGCAAATCAATGTCTTCTTTGCAACCATCGATTCTATTACCAACGCATTTCTGAAATGATGTCTGGGTCTCCTCCAGCCGTGTGCGAGGTGTAAACCACCCCACTCTGAGGCCATAAATCACATGGAAACCGTTTAATGTGCTAATAAAAAGGGTTGTATTTAAATGTAGCTGGTAAACAACAGCGTTGTGACATTAGTCCCATCTGTGTCTCTGTCTCGACCCATCAGGAGAACATTACGGAGCCTTCGGCAGGAAGACGGGTGCAGGGGAGGAGGAAAGGAATGGGGAGAGATGATCGATGCAAACCTTGCCACCTCTGACTGCCATCCTTCCTTTCCTTCCTCTTCCTCCTGCTCATCATCATCCTCTTTTTTTCCTTCTCTCTTGTTTCAGAGCAGGAAAGACAGCAGCAGGTCTAACTCATCGCACTGTGTAGCAAAAATCAATGAAAGAGATTGGGGGACTGAGAAATGAAAGAAAGAAGGTATTTTTTTACGGGGGTAGTGTTGGGGTGTTGGCTTCGAAACCTTCAGTTCGTCCTGTCTTCAACAAATCATGAAGACAATCAAGAAACAGCATTTAAGCACCACACAGGTCCATCAGTGGGTCCGGAAACAGGCAGAAGAATCTCTGATATGAAGAAAAGATTGTAAAGCTGCACCCATTCACCCATTCACTCACACTTTACTTTTAGGTGGCCTATTTGCGTCTCTTCCATGATTTCATCATGAATCCACCCGACTTGAACACTTCACGGCGCAGCACACACCCGAAAACGGAGAGATTAAAATTCATCCAGAGAGTTGGAGCACCAGAACAACTCCCAAGGCTTTGAACAGACATGCATGAATAAACACACACACACACACACACACACCGTACACACACACACAGAGCTCATTTGCAAATACAACCAGGTCCACCGCATTCCCCTGCTTCTTGTACTCCTTTGATTGTCTTCTTTCATTTCATAAATTATGAATAAATTCCTTTCTCTTTACTATCTTTGGTTAATAAATGAGCATTGCAGGACGAGCATCACGAAAACTCGATATTTCCAAATAAAATCTAAGTTGGAAGCACTATAAATTCCATTTTCCACATATTTACCTCAGTAATACCTTTAGTAACCTTTTTTTAAATTTTGACTTCTGTTATAGAAACAACAATAAATGTAAAGGAAAGGAAAAACTAAAAACGTTTTTAATCATAAGGGGGAACAATCCTGAAAAATTCCCTAAAAGATAAGCTAAGATTTACCACTCTGCCCACTTCACTCATTCATTCACCTTTTCTCTCACATCTGCCTCCTTCAGCATCAATATTCCTTCAACCCTATTTCCCTCTTAATCCCCTCCCACATCAATTAATTCCAGTTCGTCCCTCCAGTCCCAGTTTTCCTCCACTTCAGCGTCCGCCCTTTCCCCCACACCAGAGCTCCTCTCCCTTGCCTCCATTCATTCCTCCAGTCCCAGCTGTGTGGAAACACTAACCTGCCCTTCTGGCATGCAGAGCAGAGCCAGGCTTTGTCCCTCTTGCTGTAGGTGCAGCAGCCCTTGCACACGTTGTACTGGCAGTCCAGGCACTGGCGCTTGGGGTTGAGCAGGAAGGTAAAGGGCGCGCAGCAGCGGATGCAGCAGTGCTCGTTGAAACGGTGCTGCTTGGAAAGGATGGAGCATCTGCTGCCTTCTTCCGCGAGCTCCTGCTTCATCTCACTGAAAAAAAAAACAGAGAGAAGGAGAGAGAGAGAGGGGGGGGGGTAGAGAGTACAGGGAGGGGAGAGAAAGTGAAAGAGTGGTAAACGTCTGGTCGCGAGGTGTAGGGAGGGAAAACGGCACAGTAGACTATAGAGAGTAATTAGGGGAGCTGCAGTAAATGAAAAAAATGAAAGGAGAGTAGCATAATAAAACAATACAGGAGAAAGAATAAATTGGGTCATGGGTTTGGGAAAGAAATTCCACGCTCTCTGTCTCTTCCCCTGCAACAACAATTTAGTGAAATTATTGTGATGGCTGGCATTCCAATTTGGATGGACCTGTCTTGCCTTGTTTTTCCGCAGTAGTCAAACCACAGCAGAAAAGAGCATGCCATGAACATCTGTTACCTCTAGGTATTCGGTAATGCAGGTACCATAACTCTAAAGTGGTACAAATAGTAATAAACTTTAGGCTCACTCTGCAAAGATACAATCTAAAAGAAATCTGTAAAAAAAAAAAATCAACCTAACCATCACTTTAGAATCAGCACTCATGCAAGAGAACCAATAAGGCAAAAATTATATATTTAGAGCTCGATACTCCAAAAAGGAAAGAAACAATACCAATGCTCACAGTTCAAAAAGTCATTCAGGACCTTAGAATTTACAGTGGAAATCTTGCATGTTATACATGCTGCAATATTATGAGATATGATGTGAGACGAAAAGATGTGTAGTGATACAATGTGATACGATACGATGTGAGACAATGTGATACGATACGATGTTAGATGATACGATGTGAGACGATACAATGTGAGACAATACGATGTGAGACGATACGATGTGAGATGATACAATGTGATGCGATACGATGTGATACGATACAATGTGATACGATACTGAGACGATACGATGTGAAATGATACGATGTGAGATGATACTATGTGAGATGATACGATGTGAGATGATACGATGTGAGACAATGTGATACGATATGATGTTAGATGATACGACGTGAGACGATACGATGTGAGGCGATACGATGTGAGACGATACTGAGACGATACTGAGACAATACGATGTGATACGATAAGATGTTAGATGATACGACGTGAGACGATACGATGTGAGGCGATACGATGTGAGACGATACTGAGACAATACGATGTGATACGATAAGATGTGAGACGATGAGATGTGAGGCGATAAGATGTGAGACGATGCGATGAGAGACGATACGATGTGAGACGATACGATGTGATACGATACGATGTGATACGATAAGATGCGAGACAATGCGATGTGACATGATAAGATGTGATATGATACGATGTGAGACGATACGATGTGAGACGATACGATGTGAGACTATGTGAGATGATATGATACGAAACGATGCAAGGCGATACGATGTGAGATGAAAAGATGTGGTACGATACAATACAATGTGAAACAATAAGATTTGAGACAATATGATGTGAAATGATAAGATTTGAGATTATACGATGTGATACAATAAGACGTGATACGAGAAGACGTGATACGAGAAGATGTGATACGATAAGATGTGATACGAAAAGATGTGATACGATACGATGTGAAACGATAAGATTTGAGACGATACAATGCGATACGATAAGATGTGATACGATAAGATGTGATATAAGATGTGATATAAGATGTGATACGATACGATGTGAAACGATAAGATTTGAGACGATACAATGCGATACGATAAGATGTGATACGATAAGATGTGATATAAGATGTGATACGAAAAGATGTGATACGATACGATGTGAAACAATAAGATTTGAGATGATACGATGTGATACGATAAGATGTGATACGATAAGATGTTAGACGATACGATGTGATGCTATAAGATGTGATACAATACGATGTGAGACGATACGATGTGAGATGATACGATGTGAGACTATGTGAGACGATGTGATACGATACGATGCGAGGCGATACGATGTGAGGCGATACGATGTGAGACGAAAAGATTTGAGACGATAAGATGCGAGATAATAAGATGCGTAGGGATGGGTACCTTTGACATTTGAATAGATTCGGTACTAATTCCCGGTACCTAGGAATCGATACTGGTACTTAACGGTACCAATTTTCGATACTTTTGAGTGTTTATTATTTTAATTCTCTTTTAAAATTAAATATATATTTTTCTCAATATATAACAATATTTGATAAATATCACGATAACTAACATTCAACCGTTTGTATTTTAACATCGTCCTTGTAGTTTTATAAGCTGATAATTAAACTGAAGCAAACATCTTTACTGTGAACTAAATTTACTGTGTATCTTCATTCCTTTTGCCGTCTTTTTTCATTTGATTTTTCCTACTGGGAAGTTAGAATTTCCGAGGAGAAAGCGAACGAACCATTAGCTGATAACAACGGTGGCAATGGAAGCTAACATATCAAGCTAACATTATCTTTAACAGTTTATTTAACTACTGGAGCAGATTTAAACGATGATGCCTCACACTTAGATCGTTGTCACTGGTTTCATCTTCACCCAATCACCTGTTGCATTTAGTAAAGTGAAGCCAAACTTTAGAGCGCGTTCATGTTCTTCTAGTCGGAAATTCGGAGTTCCGAGGAGAAAGCGAACGCACCATTAGCGAAACGGAAGCTAACATATCAAGGTAACGTTATCTTAAACATTTTATTTACCTACCGGAGCAGATTAAGATGAGGATGTCTCACTTAGATCGTTGTCGCTGGTTTCATCATCACCCAGTTACCCATCACATTTAGTGAAGTGGACCCAAGCTTTAGCGTGCGTTCTTTCTACCGTGCTGCTCTGTTTACAACTGGGTCGCAGGGACTGACGACATAACGCTCTTGCGCATGCGCAGCTGTCTTGGCAAGTTCTCGTTATGAAGGACGGGTACCGAAACGAGGCACCGTTTGAAATGACGTGAATCGGTGCTCGGTCGGTACTATGGAATTCGGTCTGTACCTTAAAAAGTACCAAATTCGGTACCATCCCTAACGATGCGAGGATACAATGTGAGATGATACAATGTGAGATGATTCGATGTGAGGTTTTTGTTGGGGCTTAAGTTAAGTTCTATGAAAAAAATTGGACATTTTAGAAAATCTTGGTGGCAAATGGAAAAGTAACAAACAACAAATTTTCTTTGGAGGGATACACCATGTTTTTCTCTACCAATGACTACTGTTCATAATAAAGCAATAGTATCCTGCCAACAAATCATGCCATGTTTTCTTTTTAAAACTAGGTTCTTTTCACAAATGATATGGTGTACTAGCCAGCAAACTGACTAATTACAGTAATTGAAAAATAAATATGTACATACAGCAGAAAGACAAACATGTTCTGAATCAACTAAAGTTCTGTAAGAATTTATCTGAGGTGTGCTTTAGATTTTTTTGTTAGGAAAATTTACTTTCTTACTTGGGGGTGGGACTTAAACTTATTCTGCAACCAGCCACAAGGGGGTGATTGTTTTGTTTTGCTGTGCTTAGTTATATGCTGATGCTTCTAATGTCTGTCTTGAAACATATTCATATCACTCCTGTTTCTGTGGGTGTAGTTGAATTTTGTGGCTTGCTCTTTCTTTTTTCATTTTTACCCTGTTTTTGGATGTATTCTGGATCCCACCAGGTCCTCCAATATTCACACATGTGCAGTCTTAGTAAATTACTTCCTCTGTGAAAATGTATTCCAGGTTTTCCGTTGTTTTCTGCCAGATCCTTGTCATTCCCCTGTCTGTCTAAATGTCCCTTGAAATCTGCTGATGCCAGTTCTTGTCTTGTTGAGCTTAGCTCATTCTTTTTCAGCAGCACCCTTTGTTTTGCTTTGTGTTGATTACATTTTTGTCTGCTTGCTACCTGGCTACCGTTTGGGACCTTGAGCTCTAAAAAGCCCGAACTTTATGATTTCACAGTTTGCTAGTGCAACATTTTAAGGTGCAATGCTATAAATTGTGATAAGGGTATTTTTGCACAATGTTACAGGAGAGTGTTTTTGATGATGCATTCCTTTGTAGAATGTTGAGTCTCTTTTTGTGAAAAGCTCTTAAATTTGAAGTAGTAAAGAAAACAAATTTTGCCTTTTGAAATAAATGCTTTTCTGTCCTTTAGCAGCCATCTGAACTCCTGTTTGATTTAAATAAATGAAAAGTGTATTTGCATAAACAGATAAAAGCTATTTCGTATCAAAATCTGCAAACTTGGTTTTGGCTTAGGTTACTTAAAGTTCATTGAATAAAAAAGATGCATATTTTGAAAAGGGATTAATTTATCTGTCCTTTAATAAACTCTTCAAACATTTAATCAAAACTTACTTAAAATTCAGAATATAAGTAAACATTTGCTCAGTTCCATCAGAATTAAAGTGTGGATTCAAGCAAAAAATAGAACAGATAAAAGTTTGTATGTCTTATTGTAATGCAGATTTGGTTTATAGTAAATATTTTTTACCACTATGGTGTCCAAAAAGAATGATTTTTAATAAATACTAATGTAATCAGTTAGTTTTGTTGCTAATCTTTGACACGTCTAACCCCTCCTTTCCACTGGATGTAAAAGCATTGCAAAACGGCATTTTAAATCAATCCATTTTCAAACTATAATGTAATCAGTTAGCTTTGTTGCTTTTTATTGTGTGGACTTCTGAAATCACGCGTAATGTTGCAATTCTTTCCCATGACTTTGTGATCAGCTATGTGGAACGGTTTCGCTCACGTTTCAGAATCACTACCGGTTGGAAGGGGCTTATGTGCAAATCACCTCCATTTTGTTACACGCCACTTTTGCGTCTGGTGGAAAGAAAGGGTAACATTCTAATCACAGATACAGCCCTGGGCTTCTGTTTGAAGAATATTTAACTTTTGATGTTTTTTAAAAACAAAATAGACAGAAATTTTAAGGGTTAAAATAATGAGCTTGGCAGTTCCATTCCTGAACTAAAATGCATTACTCAGTGAGATGTAAAACATAAATTGGGTTTTTATG